CCCTTGTGCAGCAAACCTGAAGTTGTCGTAGATGATGCTACCGACTACGGAAAAGGAACGTGCCGAATTGCGGTCACGACCGTATCGTTCCGTAATCGGGTGTCTCATGTACATCACAGCCTGCGCTCGGCCCGGACATTGCCTACGTTGTCACGCCGTTGTCGCGATTTCTAGAGAATCCTGGAACGCAACACTGGAAGGCAGCGATTCGCGTTCTGCAGCATTTGAAGTCTACTCGCCATCATGGTATCGTTTACAAAAGTGGAACGAGTGGATATGGAACGCAATTTGTCAAGGCAGAAGCGTTTACGGACGCAGACTGGGGAAGCAACATTGACGACAGACGTTCAGTGTCTGGTGTCATGGTCATAATTGGGAACGCTCCGGTGGTGTTTAAGTCCAAGTGCCAGAGGACGGTTGCGCTAAGCTCAGCGGAAGCAGAGTACATGGCACTAAGCCTTTGTACTCAAGAGGTACTGTGGACACGTGTCATGCTGAAGGGCATGGGTCACGAGCAAGTGGGAGCGACGCAGGTCTGGGAAGACAATCAAGGTGTTATTGCACTTGCAAGCAACGCTGGATATCACGCGAGGACCAAGCACGTGAATATCCGTCACCACTGTATTCGGAACGTTCCACAATCAAGGTGGCCTACATCGGCACGAAGCAACAGTTCGCTGACATGCTTACGAAAGCACTCGGAACGAAGTCGCTAGCCTTCCTTCGCAAAGCAAGTGGAATTAAGAAGAGGAACGACGTGCAGTTGCGGTGAGTGGGAGTGTTGATATTCACCGACTCTGCACGGTTCGGCTAGCCGGCGTGACGTTCCAAAATGGGCCGTTCCCAAATCGGTTAGTTTGGTGGATGGCCAGGAGCACTTGACAAGAGGACAACACGGAGGACAACGCTAGTAGAAGTTTAGAGGACAGATTTGATTGACTTTAATCTACTCACTTCGGCATTTGCCTTTAACAACAACAACACTGATCAACAGGCCGATGTGCATGTTCTTGTTGGCATAAATTAGCTTTTTGACAGCTTTTGTGGATAAAAGGCAATACTCTTTGAAGTGGTATCCCAAATCGTATTAACCATTAGCTAAGAAGGTTGGAGTCGACCGTCAGCACACAAGCCTAATTCAACATGACCTCTAGCCTCCAGAGTGTACATAAAATTAACGGTTACCATTATCAAGCGGTCGTCAACTATGTATAATGTTCATTTGTTGAGCTACGCCCAACAACAACGTTTGCTAATTCTGGTCCCATTCTTTCCCAAATCAGTGGGCTCGTGTGCGACTACTTTCTCTTGTGGCGGGCTTAACAGCTGTGTAAGCGTGGCATTATCACCGCTGTGGTGGTGTCCTCGTCTTCAGGACTATCATATTTAGAACTATAGTACATGTAGTCTAGAAGGCCCATGTGTATCAGCTCACAAAGATCGGTGCGGGTATCACATTCCGAAACTCCATGCTTCATATCGGGGCTTGACGCTCTCTCACACGGCACATATTCGCAATCATGGCATGCCAGTACTTAAGAATTAATAAAAAAAATGGCGTAAGTCGCGCTTGTACCATTGATACGGTACATATCTGCGTTTTTTATCTCACTGGATTCTGGTAGTGATAAAAAGTGGAGATAGTTCTGTGGGGACAGTGCACTTTTTATCACTATCATCCCACTGGATAGTGATAAAAAGTGGCTGTCTACAAAGATGATTACAAAGATGATCACCATACTACAATGATGATTACAAAGATGATTCTGTGGGGACAGCGCATTTTTCATCACTATCCAGTGGGATCAAAAATCCAGATCTGTACCGTTTCATTGGTACAAAACGCGACTTACGCTGTATTTATTAATTCTTAAGTACTGGCATGCCATGATTGCGAAGCTGTGTCGCATTGGACGACGTCCACCGGTCTGTTCGTATTAACCACAAGAATGCATGAGCCATTTCTCGTTTATCGTTCAAGACCCGAAGACCTTTTTTGTCGCGGGATCCCTCTTTGAAGTCATGCGCAGTATATTCTACTTTGCTCTTGCCTTCGCGGCTTTGACTCGCAGCAACGCTTCCGCAGCGTTCCTGAATCCCGACGAAATTCACCTCTTATCAGACACTTTTATCAAAAGATCCCTTCGGGTCGCAGGCCAAGAAGTCGCCCGCGGCGACCGGGGGGGGGGGACATTGTGAAAGTTATAACCCAGAGTACTAACAAACTCTTCAAGAGACCGGCGGAAAAAGACATGAGCAAACTGATTGCGGCGGCTAAGATTGCGATGTTGGAGAAAAAGATGGCTAAGCTCTCATTCGTCGGTAAGGAGGCAGCGAAGTAGCCTCAGATGCGGAGACAGAATACTTCCTTACAGTTGTGCATAAGTGCTGTATTAATATTTTTGATCATTTCAGAATGAATCATCACTTATGATACGAGAACACTTTGACTAGCATTTAAATCAGTTACCTATGTATGATCATATCATTAGCGTATGTATGAATACCACTACGACAAATAACGAACGTTTTAAAAATACTCTAGTTTGGTAGTAGTATAATACTACTAAACAGTAGTACTCAATTCCGATTACAGGTATACTGTATACTGTATGATGTATAATGCTTAAGTACGTAGCGTGAGGGATTAAATAGAAACAACTTACACGAACAAAAAATAGCTATAGTACAGGCGTCCTTGCACCCCCCCCCCCCCACCTCCACCCATTCCGCCACCCCTCCTTTTTGAGGTAAATGTGGCATTTTAAGGCGCTACACACAACACATTAATGTTTTGCCTAAGAGTTTGAGTAACAAGATATCGTGGAGGAGGGAAACAGTGTAGGCCGTGCCTAAATGGGATCAGTCACCGAAACAAACGTCCATACCATCAGCCAGCCGATTCCGTCGAGTTAACTACATATTACTCGTCAACGATAAATTAGTTTACCCTTAAATTTCGAACTAGTCGTAATTTATGCCTTTGGATCGACATTGATGATAAAAAAGAGAGGATCGCGGTATCCACCCTGCATAGTTCGAAAAAAAGAACGATCTGTAGGCTCTGTGTCGCTCACTATATCGCGTAGTATACGTGTCTTTAGTCACCGTCTCGGCCAAAGCACTTGGACGGCTTAAATGTTTTTTTTTACGTGTACCGACAGCGATAGGAAGAGGAGGTTAGTGAAACAAAGGCTAATCGATTCCCTTAGCAATGTTATTCATAAAGAGAATGAACTTGTTCCGTTGTGATCGGGTTCGTGAAAGACTGGAGACTAAACTCAGTCTGAGGTGGCCCACCTCATTTGGCATGTACAATTGTGATCAACACTCTTTGCAGAGACAGACTTTAATAACCTTTAAACGGTAATTTGCCAGCTCAAACAATGATAATAACACTCGGGTAAAAACAAAACACAAACTCCAAAATAGATCATGTCAGACAGACAACTCCAAACGAAACGATCGTAAGCAATGAAATCTATTTTTTAAGTTAGCAAATGTACTAGATAGAGCTCGTCGGGAGCTCTCGATTGATGTATTCGTTGCAGTCACCTTTGAAGCCCGCGCCTAGATAAAGTCGCTTGAAAATTTGAGACTTCATTTTTTAGTTCGCATGTCGTATTATTGGTTGCCTAAAGAAACATTGCTAATATGCTGTCCAGATCAACCGAAAAGGACATTGACTCTTTCAAATTTAATATTATAGCTAAGTTCGCAATGAAGTTGTCTCTGTGAAACAGCAATCTTGTGTAATCAGCTTGGTGTGGCGATTAGCATAATTTATCGAGTTAATCGTCAATCTTATTCGCTGCACTTTTCGCTTGGGCACACGTCGGACTTTCTTGACAATTCTTGGGTTTTCTTCCTGATCTGTGGCTGGTGGCGCCTATAAACTATCGCCCTGAAACTCAGCTGGTACAAACTGCCGGATTGTTTTGTAGAGATGGGTGCGCTTACCTGTGGTCGTGTAGGCTTTCAAAGTAAGCAGCAAGTATGCGTTTGGCGTGGTTAGCGTTCAATTGAAATCTGCCATAGACGGTAGCACAGGCTCGTCCCGAAAGAGAACGCCATTCGACGACACCTTGACATTTACTTTGCATTTTAAAAAGCTGGCACTTCTGGATTTAAGTGACATGTCCTCTACAATAAACTTAAAGTTGCAAAATGCTGAATGATACGAAGGGTAAATACATTCATTTTCGGCTTCACTTCGTTTACTAGAGTACTCCTGGACACAATTACATGTATTAACCCCTTGAACTCGACGGCCTGTATTAGACACGATATCAGAAAAAGCTTATCCTGGACCATACACGATAAGGAATTTTGACTTGACGTTTGTATTGAGGTTTACAAACTTTAAATGAAATAGGGGACGGGGTGCCGGGTTGTCTCACCTACTCTTTTCCCGCTCGAAGTGCGTCTTTCCATTTTCTAAAAATTGAGTCTAAGAGGTTTTAGTGTGGTGTGGACTACGTATGACAAATTCTTACAGTCAATAGCTCACACGCCACTCATTTCACTCATTAAAGAATTTGCGCCGAGTCCAAGAGATGTCAGGTTCTCGCGCCCGCTGGGCTGAGCTGAAGAAGGAAGGCTGGTCTTCGAAGAGGCCGGCTGGCCTCTCTGTTGACTTCACATACTTGAAGCCTGGTAAGACCAAGAAGGACACCCGTGGCGTCGATGTTTTCGTCGGAGAAGAGGAATCAATGCGCTACTTAGACCGCATTGATCTTGGTAAGACCTTGAATTATTTTGCATCGCATAATGACAGTTTAACGTGTTATATTGAAACAGAGAAAGCTGCCAAAGAAGCACAGCAGCCTACACTACCAGAAGCAGCCTCTGCTACGACTGCTGAATGCGTTGAGCCTCAGGAAGACGTCGATGCCACGTCTAGCGGTATTGTGATGCTTGGTCTTGAATATACACGATATTCTGCCGGCTAATGATGTATAATACAAACGTGGTACTTACAGCAGTTACGTTACGCCAGAAGAGCAATACAGAAGGTGGTGATCAGCAAAATGAAGACAGCAGATACACGAATGATGTTGTTGCCCAAAAAACAACGCCAGTCAATGGTATGATGCTGTGTTTACCTGTATTATACCGTTTAGCGTGCGATCTAACATGTATATTGCTGCTGTGTTGTAGATGGAGTTAATGGCGTCTCGCGCAGTGATAGTGATGGCAGCCAGCCTTCAGCGACGTTGCGCTGCACATCGCCTCATCTCTCTCCAACCCCACGAGTCGAGTACCCCGACGTGTCAGCTCGTATGACTTATAGCCTCCAGTCTGACGATGAGTCAAGCTCGGAAGATGATCCCGAGATTCAACGCAATCTGGACCCGGCGTTTGACGAGGTTGATGAGACCGTACGACAAGAAGAGATTACGGGTCCTCGCCGGTCGGCAAGGATTGCTGCGTTTTGTGATGGTGCGTTTTAGATCGTATGTACACGTTTGTGATACAGGATACTGATCGTAGATTGTATACTTGTGCTGTACCAGATATCAACATTACTGTAGACGCAGACGATCCTGAGGAATACCAAGCCATGGTGTCCGATGCTGAAAACGATGACGGGTGTTCTGACGGCGCTGACAGTGCACTCGGAGATGCAACTGAAGGCGGAGACGAAGACGAGCTGGAAGAAGATGATGAAGATCCAGCAGAAGCATTGTTTGACGACGATCTTTTAACTGCGGTTGGTGGTATGGCTAGTATTACAAGCGGCACGATTAGCGCTGATATCCTGAAGGATATGGCAAGCAAAGGATGGTCTAATCCTGTATCATACAGTCCATTTCCATATCTCGACCAGCCTTATGAGCCTCGCACGGCGAATATGCAAGAGGATTACCCGCAGTTATACCGAGAACACTACGGACCTACACCGAGAAGTCTAGAAGCGGCCACGACGGTTTCTGGGGTGCTATTGTACTTCATGCAGCCTCGCTTGTGGTAAGACATCGCGGAGGCAAGCAACGAATACTTTGATGAAAAGATCGACGAACGGGTTGAAGGACAGTATACGAAGCAGGAACAAAGAGAGAAGAAGATTCCTGGATTCAAGAAGAGCACGCGCGATGCGATCAAGGCTGCATTACTCTCTACGCCACCTATCACTGCTCGAGAGCTGTGCGTATTCGTTGGGCTTCTATTTGCTCGAACAATTGCTCCCAACAAGGAAAAGCTGGAGAATCACTGGAAGACGACAGACGAAGGAGGAATTCCTCGTGGACGCTTTGAGATTTTCATGTCGCGGGATCGCTTTCATGCACATCTCTCGAAATCTCCACTTCAGCAGCAACAACGACCCCCGCGCCGCAGCAGATCGTGCCTGGAAGCTGCGTCCTGTGATCGACGCGCTCCAACAACAGTTCAAAGCGGGTTACATACCGCCTCCAGTGATGGCATTTGATGAGGCAATGTTGCCTTCAAGATCAACGTTCAACCGGATGAGATGTCTACATGAAGGACAAGCCCCATAAATGGGGGACCAAGCTCTTCATGTTGTGCTGCTCTACGTCAGCATACTGTCTCAGGTGAGTTGAGAGCGTGCCTCACGGCACGCTCCTTTTTTTTGGCTGTAAAGTTCTCTTAAGCTGTAGGATACAAGTATGTAACAATGCAAATGTGTATGATACAGGTTTGAAGTCTACTGTGGTAAGCGGCAAACGGACAGGTCATCCTCTTCGAAGGACACCAACTGTGGACCAGCTGCCGTTATTCGCAACCTGAGGCAAGTTTTTGGAGCAAGAGGGACCATCGAAAAACGTCTAGTGGTCACTGACCGATTTTACACGTCACCGACACTCTCCATGCAGCTCCTAGCAATGGGGTTCTACAGTATAGGCACAGTGATGACAACCGGCGTGGGTTTTGCAAAGAGATTATCGTGAAGAAGAAGAAGCGGCCTGCTGATGTACACCGCGGTACCTACGCTGTTGCCGAGTCAACATTAGTGCCGAGTATGAAAGCAGTGTGTTGGTGGGACAACCGTCCTGTGCATTTGCTGTGTGCGGGTGGAAGTACTGAGCAAGATCGCGTAGTTCGACGAGCGAAGTCTGGCGAGCAAGTCGAGGTGGCATGTCCAAGAATGCTGAAACATTACCAAACTTTCATGGGCGGAGTTGATGTACACGATCAACTTCGCCTCCAAAGGTGAGTACATTTCTGCTGTATGTACAAGATAGTGTTGATGCTAACCCTGTATAATTCATGTTGTATCAGGTACTCTCTTCAATTGGCTCTAAAGTATACGAAATACTACAAGTCCCTTTTTCTGGGCTTCATCGACCTGGCAACAGTCAATGCTTTTATTGTGTACAATCGACGGCGTGCTATTGATGGAAAACCCAAGCTCAGCCATGTCAAGTTCCTGAAGCAACTACATTTGGAGCTGACGCAGTTGCAGGAGACGGATTGGGATGCTCTCCGCGCGGTGGAGCGTACCCCGAAGAAGTCACGC